TCAGCGGCTGGGTGGGGAGGTATTTCTGTTCTTCACGAGAAACTTCACCTCCTTCCGCCAGTTCACGGCCAGGGCAGAAGCCCGAGACCTACACTTCCCATAGTTCCCAGTCTGCGGGCTCCTTCCTGGGACAGGGGCTGAGTTATTAATGGGCCGGAGCCCCTTCTCTCAGTCCTTGTGTGGGGTTCCAGGTGGGGACATCTTCCCGTCTTTCTCCCCATCAAGTCTCCGAGGAAAAGGCCAGACGGGGTCTAAGGTGGACGTTTCAGGCCGAGTTCAGGCTTTGGGGTCTGAGATTCCACACGCCCAGGGAAAGGGTGGAGTTGCCCAACTCGAATTTGGCTGGTTCTTATCAGCTTCGGAGGCAGGCAGTGAAATCAAAGGAGGCCAGGGCTGTTTGTTGACTTTTTTCCTCCTTTTTGGCAAAAGGAATCAAAACAAAGCCTCTGCCCTGCCCACATCCTCTCTCCTTTTCTTCCTCTTTTCCTCCTCTTCCTCAGGAGCCTGACAACCCAAAACCCTAAAGTTGAGAGGGAGGGTTTTTATTACCCCCACACTATTGCCACCATCTCCCTGGTGTGACTGCACTGAGCCGTGGGCCGTGCGTGCCGTGGGAACGGTGGCACAGATTCCAGAAGTGATGAATGGCAGCTCTTATTCTCTCCCTTGACAGAGGAAGAAACTGAGGCACTGAGAGGGGAGCTCACGCTTCAGAGACCATTCAAGGTTCTTTGACTCCCAAGGCCATGCTCTTAACCATTCCTCAAGCTACATCCCTCCTCCGGAACTGTATCGCCACCAAGAAAAATAAAAGAGTGCAAAAGCGACTCACCACAGAACTCCAACTTCAAATGTTCCCTGAGCTCAGCGGCTCCAAACTCCAATGACTTCAGTGCCCAGGCAAGACACAGGAATGACAGAAGGCAGTCAGGTGGGAGGCAGTAGGGAGTGGTGGGGACTGTGGTGAATTGGAATGCCCCTGAGTTTCGAACCACCACCAGCCCATGGCTGCCTTGGGAAATGAGGGCCCGGTGCCGCCAGGGTTTTCAGGCAAGCTAAAAATACAGATGTTTTCTGTGAAATCTCTGGATTTTTTTTTATGTGGTGGAAGATAGGAGTCTATTTTTATGTTAGTGATAAATAAAATAAATGGACAGTGTGCTAGGCTGGTCTCCTAGATTAAATATTCCATTTTCCCAGTGAGTTGAAATGCCACTTTTATCATAATCCTCCCTACTGTTCTTCTATTTCATACTTTTCTTTGTCGACTCCAAGATGATCTTATCCAATTAAAAAAAATCCCGCAGGTCACTACCTGAAATTACATTACGTTTATATATGTTGGCAGAATTGTCCTTTTAAGGATGTAAAGTTTTCCCATGTATTTACTCTCATCTTATGTTCATGCCCTTAAGGGACATATTTTCTCTTTCTTCCAAAGTCTATTGATTTTCAAATGATGGTGAAATTCCAAACTATTGGAACTGCGGGGGCCAAGTAACACTTCTTATGGGCGGCGTTTGGCCTCGGGGCTCCCCCGTGTCCCCTGAGATTCATTTGGCCTCACCCTGAGGTGGAGATGGAACACGCTGACATTCGTAGAAAACTAACTCTGTCCCAGGCGGGGAGATCTCCAGAGCCAGAGAAGCCAGGACAGGCTGGGCTGAGGAATCCGGGTGTCAGCTGCTTGGCCCCCTCTGTGGCAGGCAGGGTACCCCGCTCAGAGGCACCATCTCCTACAGAGGCTCCAGCCGGCTCATTCCTGACCAGCGCTTTAAAGCAACAATTGAAACTAACCCATTTGTTTGTGTTGTGTGTTTTTCAAAAAGCAAATTTAAAATAAATAATATGAAAACACAGTCAGTTGTCAAGTCATATCTATCGAGGCCTCCTAGTGCCAGGAGCTGCTCAAGGAGTCGTGGGCAGGGCACACGGGACGGGTGCCTGCTTCCCGGTCTCCTGCTCTAGTGGAGAATGTGGGCGAGAAGCCCAGAAACAGATGGGAAACCAAGGTACATCCTGGTGATGCTCGGCCAAGGAAGAGATGAATAGGAGATGGGATAAAGAGGGGCCAGAGGACCCCTGTAGCCAGGGGCTTGGAGAGACCCTCTGGGCAGAGCTGACATTTCGCTGAGACCCGAACAATGGGAAACTGAGAGCCCTGGGACCCCTGTCTCAGTGGCAACCGCGACACCCAGCAACAGCACGGTGACATTTGGGCGTGTATCCTACCAAACTCGATTGCCCACTTACATGTTTATATTTACATGTTTGCTCATTTAATTCCTATTTTACGTGCTTGCATTTTCTAAAATACAAAAGTGGCCACATAGAGTTTCGTAACCACCTTCTTTTCCTACTCGAAGCCTCAGTTTCCCCATCTGTTAACTAGAGATGATCCTCGTAGCTGCTCCAGAGGGTAAAGATGATCCCCAAGTAGGTGGCCAATGGGACATGATTGATCCAGAGATTAGCCATGATTAGCATGTTTATCGAATCACTTTTCAATGGCAGCCCTGAGAGGCGGTGGTTACCGTTTCCGTTCTGCGGGGAGACTTGAAGGCTGAGACTGAGCCAGCTCCGGAGAGGGCAGCGTTATTCCCCGGCCCCAGGCTCTGCACCGTGAAACCTCAAGCACATTGCGCTAGCACTCCCTCCTCCCGGGAGAGGAAACCGAGGCTGCAAGCAGGGGCTTCTTTGGGGTGG